GAGAGCTAGGAAGGGTCGAAGGTGGTCATGTGCGGGTTTGCTTCAGTTACTTCAGTTTGTCGTAGTAGTGCGTACAGTGACCATTTTCTCTGAGTGCTGAACTGTTAGCCTGTATGCTCATTCTGGATCAGTGCAAAAACCACTTTCAAAGTTTCGTATGCATGCCCGAGCCCCACACCCCAAGCGCACAAACCGAGGTCGAACGGCGACAGGAAGGCGATCATTCCATCGTCAGTCGGGCCTGTGCGAACCGACAGGTTAGTGGCCCCTATGTCAGCTGTGTGCTTCGCATGCGTGAGATTACACCAATTTTCGAAAGTGAAGACGACAGTCGGGTGATGGTTGAATGCTATGGCAGTATTCAGAATCCCGACGACATGGCCAAGCGATTGCATATTTGGAGGCATCACATGTATCAGGAAGCAGTCCAGGGAAACAAGGGGTTCAAAGCGAAGCGGCAGCTTGCGAGCTGTCTGCTGTACTCCTTAGACACAACCGCCCAGCATGCCCAGTTGCAAGGCAACCGCAAGAAACGTGAGCAGGCCCGGAATCAAGAGCAGAAGTAGGTGGCAGCATACAGGAAACGACAGGAACAGCCCACAAAACGCTCCCTTCAAGACACTCTTGAGCAAACAGTTGGTCTGAAGCACCTTGAAGAATTTGTGTCAGGTCAGTCTCGCCGCATCGTGCTTTCTGTTCCTTCGGATGCGTCTGCAAGCTTTAGGACTCTCGATGCCAGCCTGTCTCGTGCTCCTCGGCCAGGCTTGCCACTTGTTGCAACAGACAACTGCGAGCAGGAGGCAAGGGAAGCTCATGTGCACCAGAGCCTTTCATTCTTCAAGCTTGTGCCTGTGCGGCTGCAACAGCAGCGAGTGATGCGTCTGCCTGCGGTGTCGAGCCGTCGTCTCTCCAAGCAAGAGATCTGTGTGACACAACATGCATCCCACACCTCGGGCGAGCAGGTGATCGTGTCTCTTGAGCCGCAGCAGGCAACGACCGTGGCCAATCCCGTCAATGTGCTGTCGGTGTGCCGTGTTGGTTGGAGTTCATTGCGAGAAAACCTGCAGGCCTGGACACCGCGAAAGGCTGTTCGCAATGTGCTAACCTGCTTGAGTGATTCTGTGGCAGGGCAGGCCCATGAGGCCATTGACCGCTTGGTCGCAGCTCGGGCTTTTCAAGCCAGCGACAACATTTTGCAAATCGCCGGCTCAGAGCGGGCCATGCACGATCAGTTGGTGTTGCTGGAGTCTTGCAAGGCTGTGGAGTGCTTGCACCAGACGCCTCATGAGTCACGATGGCGTTTCTCTGCCTGGGGTCTGCGCACCTGCGTGTGGCCAACGTGGTTGAGAATCCTCGAACGGTTTTTGCTGCTCTGAAGTCCTTTGATCTCCCGAGCCTCCAGGATGCTAGCTGTTGGCAGCTCTTCACTGCTTTGTGTGAGCGGGGTTTTAGGGTACTTCCAAGGCCCACATCCAAGCGTAAGTTGAGCCTGCTCACCCCTCACTCGAGGGATGCCGTCAATCTGGTCTGGTATGCAGCAGCAACATCGACACTTGAGTCATCGAAGCTATACATGATCAGTTTGTTGCATTCGCCTGATTTGTTTGAGAACGGGATTCTCACCCGTTTGCACCACTGCCAACCTCTAGCCTATTATGAGTCCGTCTTGGAGGGTCGTAGTGCGGGAAGTCCTTTACAGGAGCTCCTGGACGAGGAGAAGCCACCGCCGCCTCTGGAGTTGGATGCGGATCCTTCAGATCAGCCGCTTGGTGTCCCTGCTGACACGGCCCAGGAGGCGGCCAAGGAAGCGTGCCAGACAGGCAGTGTTGAGTTTACCCGAGGATCTCACGGGAGGGATGGCGGATGGCAATTGATGAGGGTGTCGAACAGGCTTGTGCTTCGGAGAAGGGGGATTGTGAGAGTCATTCAGATTCATTGTCTTTGTCTTCAGAGGGTTTCTTGTCAGATGTCGAACCGGATGTTGCGGCAGAGGAGGGGGACAATGATCCAGAAGTTTCAGAGCTTATGCAGCTTTTCGAGGAAGAGCTTGACAAAGCGCAAGAACCTTTGTTGCATGCTGGCAGCGAGCCAGCCGTGCATGAGGATGCAAGCCAGTTGGGAGGCCATGAGTCTCCACCGCCACCGCCTCCACCGCCAGCAGAACTCGCTGTCGCTCGGGCAAGTGGCTTGTCCCGGCGAAGGCATCCGGACACCTTCATGTGGGGTCCGTTCCGCCTAACCTTCTCCAGCGATGCTATTCGGCCACCGTTTGGCCAGTGGCAAGCTACTTGCCCTTACCATGCTGTAAGTGACAAAACCAAATGCAAAAAAAGCATCCAGCTGAAATCTGTGGACGACAAAGAGCGAGCCAGAGACCTGTTGAAACAGTGGTGTCTAGCGGCACCCAATGTGGACCGGCGGCGACGACATGCAGAAGTGCTGCCTCGTTCCTACACACTTGTCGCGCCCGAGGTTCTGGAAGCTCGGCTGGCACTGCTGCCCGTGCCACCAGACCCAGACAACTTGCAAACCGATGAAGCTTTGGATGCCCTTGAAAGTTCCGCTGCAGCCAAAGCAAAAGCAAAGTCCAAGGCGAAGGCGAAGGCGAAACCAAAGGCAAAAATCCGGCCAAAAAGTAAATCCGCAGCCCGAGCAGAGCCCGAAACAAATGATCCAGGCCCTGACGAAGCAGCTTCAGATCCTGATTCCGATTCCGATTCCGAGGCTTCCAGCTCAAATTCACCGGAGTCATCATCCAGTTCCTCGAGCTCTGATGATTCGTCTTCCTGACAGGCGGTGATTGTGGCTATTGATGCAACCCTTTACGGTTTAGTTCACTTGGAGTTGTGTTTGGTTGACTTTCGGTTTCGGCTTCGGTCTGCTTTAGACCGCTCAGAGCTTCTGAATGTTGTACTTTAAGGGGGTCGGTTTAGGGCGGTTTAGGGTAGTGGCACTTGTGTTTGGTCTCCAAGGGATTCCAAGGAGTCGTGTGCATCGCCTAGATTGTTTGGAGCTTTTGGGCAGTGCCGCCTGTTCCTGAGTATGAACCGAACATCAATCCCATCCAACCAAGAAGCCCGGCAGCCCGGCACCGGACGAGGGGCTTGTGAGGCTCGTGGCACGGCTTGTCCTATACTCGCTACTGGCTTCTGCTTATTTCCATTCCTTGCTTGGAGGTTCCGTCTGCTTCTAGCCTAACCACAGGGAGTGTTTTATAGCTTATCTATAACCATATTACGATATAGTTAGGGGACATAAAGCAGTGTTATAAGCACACTGTACACTTCTAACTAGGCTAGAAGTAGACTGAACCTCCAAGTGCCTCCTCTACGGCTTGCTCCGCAACCTTGTCGGTTTTCCATCTTGGCCCTCAATCACAGGCTCCTGCCTCCAGCCTTCGGCGGTCCCCTAGCCAGAGCCAGCCGAAAACTGGTAGTGTGGGTTGGGTTCATAGATGGATCTAGGGCCTCGGGGCTTAGGCAAAATTAGGGGTTGAACTAAAGCGTGTTGCAATTGCAGACATCCTCCCACAGTTCTACCATTGCAACGGACAGATCATCAGGGCACTCGCTGGTGGTGGCAGATTTCCCAGTTGCTTAAAGCAATGTGCGTGTGTGCCCGCAGCTCGCAAGCTGGCAGGATTGCAGGGGTTTGTGTCAGATGAGGCCACTGAAACTCGCAATCGAGCTGAAAAGTTCAGTGCCTCACGTATTTGGCAACAGACCAGACCTTAAGTGGGTTTTTTGTCAGAGTTTCCTAAGGCTTGGTTTCAAATTTAGGGAAATGGTTTTAGATTGGCCAAAAGTGAATGTGATCAGTTTTTTCAGCAGACACCATATGGCTCGGAGGTGGCTCGGAGGTGGCTCGGAGGTGGCTCGGAGGTGGCTCGGAGGTGGCTCGGGGGTGGCTTGGAGGTGGCTCGGGGGTGGCTCGGAGGTGGCTCGGAGGTGGCTCGGAGGTGGCTCGGAGATGGCTCGGCGGTGGCTTGCGCTATCTTGCATTCACTTTTCTTGACTTTCGCAGTTTCTGCAGGCACAGATGTCGGTTCTTAGCAAAATGATAGGTTTTGAAAGGTTTCTGGGGTTTTCTTGCACAATAAGCGGCCGAGTCTTCCGTGTTGTGCAGTCGGCGCAGACAGAGCCCGGCCATTGGCAAAAGTGAAGTATTCTTGCAGCTTCCTGGCGTCGTGCCCGGATCCCCTTTCACTGTTGCCGCTTGCTGCCGGTCTGTTGAGCGGCCTGATGGGACTCTGCAACTTGTGCACTCCATTGCCAGGTTTTGCGGACAAGACAGCTGAAACCCTGTGCTAAGGAGCCGTAACGAGCCGCACGAGCCAAGTCGTGTGCCTCGCAACAATCAGCCGGCATAGATTCTGCAGCCAAATCAGCCAAAGCTTCGTGATCGAGGAAGTGCATGTTTCAGGAAAATCACAGATGTCTTTATGCGCTGGTTCACCGGGTACTGGCCAAGCTTCCAAGTGTGTAGGACTGTAGGAGTGTCGGAACATGTTTATGCATCGAGAATCAAGCTAGATCATCTATCTGTCTAGAGCAGATTGAATCGCTGGAGCCGCCAAGCAAAGTTCCTGTGACCTGTTGGAAGCAAGAGAGGGAGTGGGATCCAGGGATTAGGGATTGGGTGTTTTTGGCTTTGGTTTGAAATTTGAAAGGTGATGGGTTCAAGGTCATGCAGAGGCTGTTTTGATGTCGCGGAGGAGTCGTGCAAGCCGACATATGAGGGTTTACAGGGTGTTTTTTGGATGAGGGGTGGCAAAAAAAACATGATGCGCGCGCGCGCGCGCATCATGTTTTTTTTGAGTTTCTGGGCCTGAAAACCGACCCTGATGAACCCCTATAAGCCGACGCATCCGCCAACTTCTCCAGCCACAGAATCTACACAGGTATCCTGCACTGCGGTGTCCACAGGTCGTTGACGTGCAGACATTTGAGCTGGGGTGATACTTCAGTCGTAGCTAGCTTTTGGTCTTTGGGTCCCCCGGCATGGCCAGCTTGGCACTCGAGAAGGAGGACGATGAGTTCGTTGCGCCCGGTACTCCTCCCGCAAAACCAAAGGCTGCTTCCAACTTGTCTTCCAAGAAGGAGAAGCAGCCCAAGGGTGGCAAGGCCGAGAGCGAGCCTGCGAAAGGTACTTTGGCATCGGCACGAAGAGCATTGAACTGGCAGTTGGCTCAGTGTGAGAAGTCCAAGGACAAGAAGTGCAAAGACTGCAAGAGGTTCAAGCCTCTAGAGTGCTACAACCAAGATCAAAGCTCTTGCAAAGAGTGTTTCAACGACCTTCGGTCCTTCTTCAGAGTGTGTGACTCGCAAGGCCAGAAGCAGGAAGTGCATAGGCTCATGGACGAGGAGCCCGAAGTCTTCGATGCTTTGTTCAAGGACTTCATGAAGAAAAGGAAGTCGGTGCGGAAGGCCGGTGCCCGCATCAAGTTCAGCGTCGCGAGCTTTCTCCTCGAATGGAAGAAGCAAGAGGGAGTCAGAGCAGCTGAGGAAGGGGAGCTCATGTGGCAGGGCGAGTTTCGCGAACTGGCTGCCAAGGCCAAGTACGGTTACATGACCAGGGAGGAGGCCGACGCAGAGTGGGCCAAGATGGAGCAGGAGGCAGACAGGCCCCGGGACAACTACGGCCCGATGCCAGTTCGGAATTAGCTCTTCGTTCTCTCCGTATGTTGAACACTTCAAACGACTCCACCCCACTCCCCCCCAGTTTACTAGTATGTAGTAGCGACAGCCCAGGAGAGGATACCTCCGCCTCTACGTCAAGACCAGAGACCTTGTCCAGAAGTACACGGACACGAGCTTCAGCAAGAAACTAACTCAGCAGGAGCAGATGAAGAAGGCGAGTGCGGATGCCCTCGAGAAGCGTCGCGGCTTCGTCTTTGGTGATGGGGACGGGTTGGAGAACCACGGTGCTGCCAGCGACGACTTTGCAGCCCTGCGGGACAGCGCTTTGCTTGCAGCCGGCAGCGGTGGTGCCCCTACTTCCTTGCTTGATGATGCGATTTCGGAGTCCATCAAAGATGCCCGGGACATCATTGAGAAGAAGCAGAAAAGGAGCAAGGGCGGTGGCAAAGGTGGCAGGGGCAGCAAGACCGACAAGGCCTCCGAGAAGCCCGAGTCAGAGGCGGAGGACGAGGAGACGGACGACCATGAGGGCTCGGACGCGGATGCCACGGAGCAGGAGAAGATCGCTGATGGTGGCCAGGGCCAAAGCAAGCGCTCGCGGAAGGGTGGCGACAAGGGCGGCAAGGATGAGAAATGGTATGATGCCGAGACAAAGAACCTCAAGGCAGAGCGGGATCACCAGCGAGCCGTGGACGGATTGAGGCAGACCATGGAGGCGACGAGTGCCTCCATGACCCAGGGCATCACAGAGTTTAGGGCTTGCCCCGCCGATGCAAAGGCCAGATCTTTCCGTTATTATTTTGACCAATTCAATTCTTTGTGTTGGGGATAACCAGGGCAAATTTCCAGGTATTCCGGAATTGCTGGGGCCCATGTCCTTCGATAAGAGGGAGTTGGTTTGATGGGCACAGATACTCTGAGTCGGGTTGGTGGGAGGGGATATGCGACACTATCTTTGTGCAGGCCTTCCAGAACGAGCTCAATGTCGTCCTCCGCAGACAGGAGTGGTTGATTGCAGTTTTGGAGAGCAACGAAGAGAAATTGCTTGAGCTGCTCCAGGGCGACAATGTTAGTGATGCTGCAAGCACCGGCGACTCGCGGGACTTGTCCGCTGCTGCCAGAGCTGGGCCATGCGCTGGATATACCGGCTTGAAGCCTTTGCAGGTCTTGTGTGACCACGGTCAGAAGTACCGGAGCTGTCAGTGCCCGACCGACCTGAAGAAGGTGACGGAGGAGATCACCCCATTGAAGAAGCTCTTTGTGGTGCTGATCGGCTCTTGCAAGACGGCGGTGACGGAGCTTCGTGGAGCGAAGCAAAGGTCCATCAATGCGGATGAGGCGGCAAAAAAGAGGCGAGAGAAGGAGGAGGAGACTGAGCAGCGGAAGCGTGCTGCTGGCAAGAAGAGTGGCCGCCCCGCTGCCGGCCCGCAGCCGACAGTTGAGCATCCGGTGTTCAAGATCGAGGGTCGGGGCCAGGCCAACTTCGCCATCGATCACAGTGCCACTCGCTGGGATGATGGATGGCAGATGATTGATGCCTGCATACTCACCGGGGTCGAGGCCAAATTCCTGTGCGGGGACGAGGACGTCAGCAACAAGGTCGAGAAGTCTTTGGTGGACTTCGCAAAAGCTTTCAACGAGAGCTCCCTCAAGGCAGGTTCGTTTACCATAGTTTAAAGTTAAGCCTTCTTGTATGTGGGTTTTTCCATATTGCTGTGCTCGTCCTCTTCTTGTATGTGGGTTTTTCCATATTGCTGTGCCCTTCCTTGGTCAGGTGACAGAGGGCCGCGCAGCCCAGCCGTTGGACGAAGGCCACACGACTGCACTCATCAGGTCCTTCGAGAAGATGTTGCCAGATCATGTGAAAGGTGACACTCTGTTGCTGACCAATGATGCGGTGCAGACAAAGGCTTCGTTGAAGAAGTCGCTTGCTGCCCAGGCATTTGGCTTTGCTGCCGGGCACGTCAGTCCCGGACGACCGGAGCTGAATCAGCACAGCTGCTTCCGATGGTGCTGGAAAGGCACTCGTGAAATCGCCCTCGTTGTGACCGACGAGGTTGTCGCCTTCTTGAAGGCGACCCAAGGCGATGGCGTGGATGCTTCGTATCATGGAGCCATGAGCTGGGTGAATGGTGCGTCTGTGGAGGAACTTGAGAAGTTCTTGAAAGACCACCCAGGTGCTATCAGGTATGGGACTGTTGGCCCTCGAGATCTTTTGTTTGTGCCAGCTGGAACACTTGTGTTCCACAGGGTCGGCGCCTCCTGCGATGTCCTTGGGATTCGGTGGGGTGCTTTGATGGCAAGTGTGGACGGCAAGTGTCTGCCGCAGTGGCACAAGGAGGCGCAGAAAACCGTGCTGGCCGACGCCATTGAGTTGCTGGCTGCTCAGGCCGGACCCGGCTCAAGTGTTTTTCGAGTTTGATGGTTTGGTTGTTTGAGGAGAAAAGCAAGGAAGAAAAGGCTGCGGCTGCTGTGGCTTTGGCCGCGGCTGCACAGGCCCACAAGCCCAATGATCAAAAGCCGGCTGAGGCTGGCGCTGAGGCATCTGAGCCGTCTGATCCATCGGCAGCAGTGCCTCAGTCACATGAGGATGCGGAGAAGAAGCGAGAGAACCCGGATGCGGCGGCAGAAGGCAGCCCCAGCAAGAGGATTAGGTTGACCTAGGAAGGCCCTTCGGACTTCCCCTGAAATGTTTGTCAGCCCAAAAACCTGAAAGCGTTCTCGCCATGTACTGCAGAGGTTTAAGTCTTTCAGGTTTGTGGCTGAATGTGTGGCTTGTACAGATTTTAAGCTTTCGTGATTGACGATTCGGAACTCATCATGCGTGCCACGGCCAGTGCAAGCGTTCCAGTAAACAGTAGAAGCTGTGTCTAGAAAAGCAAGGTTACCCGGCTACCCAGTTTCCCAATTAGTCAGGTTCGCTTGCAGGGTGCGTCGCATGTGCCCGGCGAGTGTGAGCACTGCCGGATATTCCGATGTGTGAAGCGACATCCGCAATCAGGAAACATGACTTAACTCAGTGGAAGCGCAGCAGACAGCAAGGCTAGATTGCAGCTGGTGGTGCAGTCGATCTCAGTTGCAGCTCTTTGTTTGCATGCTCGATGCAGATCATGTGTTCTTATGTGATGCAGCGTGACATGCAGTCGTAGGTTGTGCAGGTAGACATGTGTTGCCCGTGTGGTGCAATATATGTATGTCTGCATGTCTGTCTTGCAGGTAGCTAAACCCTACACCAGCAGCCAACAGCCTTGCAGTTTTTGAGTGCCCCGTGCGATGCCGTGGCTTTGAAAAGATGCTTCAAACAGAGCTCGACGACGAGCTTGAGACGGAGCCCAAGAGGCGTCGTCTCTCGCTGGACGATAGACTGGCATGGCCGGCAGGGCCGAGCACAGCGGCCGAGGCCGTGAACTGGGCGCCGAAAGTGCTCGAGGAGCTCCGTGACAAGGGCTTGCAGTACTTTGATACGGACTTCGCCGAGAGATTGTGCAATGTGTTTTGCCGCAAAGGTTTCTGTCTGCGCACGGATTACAGCGGCATGGGCGGTGCAGAAGAAGCTGTGGTGCAGTTGTTGGGTGCATTTCCGGTGTCAGACGGATTGGTGCCCAACGTCATATGTCAACGAGCCGGCGACATTTTGTCCTATGCTCGCTGCACCCTCCAGGCGCATCGTGCTCACGGAGCTTGCGGACCTCAGTGTATCCATGTGAACTTACTGGAGAAAGACCGGTTCCCACCAAAGCTTTTGGAACAACTGCAAACATTGAGAGCTGCTTTTTTGGAAAAGGCTGAGCTGCAACAGCGTGTCAAAAAAACGGAGAAATACAAGTCCCTTGGAATCAAGTTTGTGGAAGAGGCGTTGGAGATGATAACCCGCTTCATGGGCGAGCATTCTGTGCCGTACCGAGCCTGGTGCGACGTCCACGGCAAGCGCTGTGCAATTTACCCTGCACCACCTGCTGAGCTTGTTGCACCGGTGCTGTGCAATGTATCCGGCATCAGTTGTATTGATTGGTCCAAGATGGGCTCGATGCAGAGGTGGCTTGGGCCAACGGTTGAGCCATTTCTTGTATGGCTGTGGGAACGGCTCAATGGAAACGAAGATATGGTTGTTGTGGAGAATGTCGTGCTTTTCGACGACTTCACTTTGGCTAGGCTGATGTCATCAAAGTTCCACATGGTGAGCCTCAAGGTATGCCCCACGTTGCTGGGTCTGCCGATACAGCGGGAGAGGAAGTACATGGTCTTCCTCTCAAAGAGATTGAAGTGGCTGCCATGTGTGACAGCCATGGGCCACCAGCAAGCTTTTGAGAAGCTGTTCGCCTGCAGCACTCGCATGCGTGGAGATCAGATGATGCGTGCCCCGGATGCAGAGGTCCGGGATGCCATACGGGAAATGGCCAAGGCTCACGGCCTGCCTTTGTGCCGGCGAAGTGGAAAGGAGTGGAGCTTCTTTTTGGCCATGACGGGTGCAGGTCAGGCCGCTGTCAAGAAGCACGAGGATGCCGTCGTGGAGGCCGGCCATGCCCGCAAAGCATCCCTCATCGTGAATTTGGCCAACAGTCCCCAGTATATTGGTGCCCGGCCGACTGGATATGTCCCGGCTTTGCTGCGTAGCTCGAAGCTTTGGTCCTTTGCCAAAGAACGGTGTGTGCTGCCGTCTGAGTTGCTCGAGATGCAAGGCTACAACATCCATGGCGACAGGCCGTCTGCAATATCCAATGTGCTGAAAGAGGGATCGTTGACAGATTCGCAGCTTCGTGAGCTCACCGGGAACGGCATGCATGTGCAGTGCGTGGGCTGTGTGCTCGCGTTTGCAGTTGCCTTGACGACTCGGGAGTCCGAGAATGCCTAAAAAAGAAACGTCCTCTGTGTGTGTGTGTGTGTGTGCGCAATGCAATCTCCGGCCAAGCTGAGACTCCGATCTCTCTTTCGGAAGACTCTTTCGTATGTACATGGCATTTTACTCTTTTTATATGATGTTTTGGGCACATAACATTTGCCCAATACTGCGAGCCTTTTTCCGGTCCGAAATATTCACTCAGGGCATGTATCATTTGCCCAATATTATAAAGCAACCCATATTTTTATATACAACAAATATTCCGATGACACATTGTCGTCAATATGGGACGTCGGGGGCCGCCGTATGTGGAGATTGGACTGAGAGTCATAGGTGGTGATTGCGAGGCTTTCCTTTTTGCAAATATTCATGGGGGCAGATATCATTAGCCCAATATTTTTGATATTTTTGAGAACAATAAGAAATAGTTCTGACGTGGTTGGCATTGGCGCACGGCATCACGACAGTCAAGCTGCAAGGACGTCTCGGGCATCGGGTTTAGTTTAGGGTTTAGGGTTTAGGCTGGTTTAGGGCTTAAGGTTTAGGGCTTTTCTGCATCGCAGATTCCGCCATTTGCCCTGATCGTTTTATTTCGGTAGTTTTGAGGGACCCTGGCAAGAGCACATGAACAAACCCTGCAAAGTCTGTGCTAGCCACATTTTGTGCTGTTGTCAGTCTTGTTCGGCCGACATTGTCAGCTTGGGATAGTTGTTTGGCTTCCGCATGGCAGAATCCCTTGCAAAGCCTCATTAGGACTTGGGTGGTAGGAACCAGAGCCCGCAGTAGGCGAAAAGGAAACGCAACACCTTCAAGCAACAATCGCACGCTCCTGCAACACGAATCCCTGCACATTTGTCTCACCCCGCCAAGGTGCGCCTGGAGAGGCTCAAAGTCCTTCTCCCAGACACGCCCACATTGCAAGACCTTCAAAGTCTCTTCCATGTGTGGTGGGCAGGAGAACTTGAGCATACTTCCTGTGCTGTCTCAGAAGGGAAATATGGTGCCCTTCCATACTTGTTGAAGCGACAGCGAAAACGCCCGCATGCATCTTCTTTCACCATCCCATGGGCCGTCTTTGAAACCTTCCAACACCTGATTGAAGCACGGCCCCTTCATACGCAAGGTCAGCCTGTAACAATCAGCGCTGTCGAGGTTCAGCAAGTAGTCATGCAGTTGACAACTTTGGAAACGGTCAATGTTGCCCCGCCTCCCATAATCAAAGACGCTCGACAGCAGGGGGCACGTATGCCACATAAACACCCGAGATGGGATTTGCACCGATCGTCATTGGGCTCCTTCGGGACCACGCATGTGCTGCGGGCTGACGGATCGCCTTGTTCCACCCTGGGAGAGGTCGACGCTGCCTTGCGTTCCACAAGGGCCTTTTGGCAGCAATCCCCGCCGGATTATTCCCCGGAATGGGAACTAGTCCTCAGTGAGTACCAGCCTCAGCCTGCAGCTAGGTGTACGCTTCCTCAGGAAGAAGATATTATGTTCCATCTTTTGCGCACGGGTGACTCTTCTGCGGGACCAGATGGTTGCCCCTACGAGTGCTACCGCCAGTTGCCTACTGAGTCCGCACGCGCCCTTCACTCTCACTTTTTGGATATCATCCTTGGGAGTGCTCCGCCCCCGATACAGGCCTTGACCTTTATCCCCAAAGCTGACGCGGGCCAATACGCGGACAATTTTCGGCCGCTGGACATGCCTGACACTGCTGCCCGCATCATTGACTCCGCTGTCTTTGCGTCAACCATGGCTGTCATCGCTCCTTGCCTCAACCAGTCACGCATCCATCATGCGTGCGTGAATGGGTTTTATTTTCCGCCGAAAGTGTAGACAAAGTTTGTCGAAAAAGGAAAACAGTGTTTTCACTTGTGTGTGAGTGACACTAGACATACTTTGCCGTGCAGCTTTCGGCTTGGAGTTGGATCTGTGATCCAAAAAGTTTTTGTAGAGTAGCTTGTAGTGCTCCGCAGCAGTGGGGGTCGTCAGCGACGACTTTCCACTCCCTTTGATATAACTGTCAGTGCCAGTTATGGTTGACCAAGCAGCCCGCACGTATGCGGCTGAGTCGCCAGAGGCGCCGTACCCTAGAAGGGACGGTCGAGAAAATCAGTTGGCAGCGCCACAATGCCTGCAACGCGTGCGACAGTGTCGCTCCTGCCTCCGCTTTTTGTACGGGTGGACTTGTCCACTGGTGTTTTGCAAATGGAAAACGGTTTCCTTACTTTTGGTAAAACTGGAAAGTTTTCCTTTATTCGCTTTTGCCAGTGCCTGCATCTTCTTGCCTCGGTACATGTCGTGAAGCTCTGTGCATCCGCACTCCACTTTGGATCAAGTTGCAGCGAAGTCGCTTCGCAATTTTGATTTCCCACCCGACCCGCCCTGGTTTCGCTTGCGTGCACGCCGGCCTCGCTAGGCCCGGCCTTTACCGAACGTGCTATCCTTCCTTGCACCTTCACTCTCACTTTGTGCTTTGCCCCTGGCATCCTGCCACGGGCAATGTGCTTGCGCAGGCTGCTGCCTTCACATTACCATTGCTTCTTCCAATGCTGCACACGGCAGCGCGCAGCTGCCGCACCATGTCGTTCGGTGCTCCCTGCTGGGCCCGCCATTGGCCCCAATGCGTTTCACCGCCGTAGTCTGCAGGTCACCTCTTGCTTGTAGCCTCTGCTCTAGCGTGGACTGCTCAGTCCCGGAGGACCCTTCTGGTCGCTCCCTTAGTCTGAAGCTGTCACTCAAGTGTTGTAGCTTCACTCGTAGTTCTTTTGTCCGTGGGGTGGTGCAACAGTCGCCACCCCACAGAAGGCATCCTCGGGTCAACCCGTTTGTATGCTTGCGCAGCCGATCTTTGCGATCCCATCGAAAATGAGTGAACCGAGTTCGGATTGCATTCATTTTCCGTTCTCGGGTTTAGGGTTTAGGATTTTGTCTAGGGTAACGGTTTTCCTTAGCAGAACGCAGTGCAATCCAATATTTGTGCTAGAGCAGGCCATGCGTGAAGAAATGGCACAACAGGAGATAAGTTATCTCCTTTGGGCCCTTAGCTGTGCCATGCGGGTAGACCCCGCGGTCGTCAGCGACGACCGCGAAGCTCTAAATCGAGCGGGGGAAGGAGAGTCCAAAGTTTGGCCTCCCTTCTACCCTTTTGCGCAGATGCAAGGGGAACAACCGGACACCTCAGGCAGTGCCTATCCGATGCACCGGTATACTATGTCGCAGCGCGACGTGCCTATGCGGCCAGCGGCCACGCCTGGCTGGCCGTATACCGGCCTTTTTGACTGGCCCCCCAGTGGGGAGGAAGATAATGTCCCCAAGCTCCAGTGGAGACTCAATTGGGTGGACGCCCTAGAGGGCCACGTTGCTCCTAAGGTTGAAGCCAGCGGCTTCCATTGGCACCCAGAGGGCAAGGGCAAAGGCAAAGGCGGTTGGGTCAAGATTCTCCCTTCGGAGAAGAAAAAGAAAAAGACCCACAAAGCTGCCAGTGGCAGTACCGACCCCACCGCCTCGTCCAGCACTGCTCTGCCGACAGCGTCGGCATCAGCCTCGGACCCTCCCTTGCCGCCGCCAGCGGCCGCCCCTGCCCAGCCCGCTGCGGCCGCAACAGGCACCCCGCCCGCGGCCGAAGCTGCCGACGTCGCCCCGCCAGCGGCGGAGCCGGCCATTGAAGTTATCGATACTGACAGTGATCAGAACTCGGGAGACTCCGAGGTTTCCTTGGCTAGCAGCCAGGCCGCAACGGCAGTGCCGTTTGCGCCGAACGCCAACACTGTGGTCGTGTCCCGACCGCAGCGTCGCAATCGCCAGCGAGGCTGGCAGTTTCAGCCTGGGGAGGACCCCCAAAACAACGATTGGCGTAACCTCGGGTCAGCGACCGACAACAGGTACCCCGGCCTGCGTGCGCTAGTAACGCACGCCAGAAGGGTCTCGCCGCACCTGCACGTCACAGACGTGCACGAATGGCCCTACTGGGCAACCCCCAACTCAGAGAGATGGGAGAGATACCCGGAGAGGCGCGGCGACCTCATGTGTTGCATGCCTTGCGCGCAGCAGGGCTGCCTCTCCCAGGGCATGGCGATTTGTGGGCGGCACTGCTCAGTGGGCAGGAGCCCCCACAATCATCACGAATGCGACAACTGCTATCGCAGCAGCCGGGGTCAGCGACCCCGAAACCGCGGCGTCAGGGGCGGCCGTCGTTAGGCACTGAGTGCAGCGGGTAGCTGCTGGCCTCTCAGCGAGTCGCCCTCCCGTCGGTGCAGTGCACCTCTTTTTGGTTCACCGCCGACAGCCCGGCAGCCTCTTCAGGGCGGGCGTTTCTGAGGTACTTGGAACCTCGCCCACAGCGGCGGGCCGACGGCATGCTTTGAATGGCGGCAAAAGATCGCCGCTAGCCTTTTTCAGTCGTGTGTCACGCGAGCCTGGTAGGCCTCCTCAGCTGAGTCAGCTTCTTAAACCGCGTCGGTTCTCAAGCAGTGCTTTCATACCGCAGCCTTTTCAGCTTAGTAAGTCGCCCCCCCGTGCCCACACAACCCCGCTTTCAGCGGAAGCCTTTGTCTGCCTTCAGCGATGGCGAACCCGACAAATGAGCAGATGCTGCAGGCGCTCAGTGCAGTGCCGGAGGCCCAGCGGGCCGCCATCTATGAAGCCGCCGTCTCCCTATCAGAGATAGGGGACGTGGTGGTGAATGCGGCAGAGGCAGCGGAACTCGCTGGTTGGACGAAGCCCGCCAGTGGCGGCACAGAAGCCAATGCAGTCGCGCTTCAGCGACTTCTGCTCGGCTACGAGCCCCCAGTGGTGCCGGCAAACACCGAGCCGCCAGTGGCGGCGCGTGGTGTTTCTTCCGACGGCCACCGCAGCGCGGTGGACAGTGTGCCTCTTTCGACGGCTGCAGCGCAAGCTTCGCGACAGCGCTCCCCGACCAGTCCCGCTGAGGACGCGGGCTCTGAAATCAAAGAAGAACCGCTTCCAGCGGAAGCTCCCTCGGCAGCGCCTGAGGATATGGACGTGGA